GATATCGTATTCGTCTGGCTTGTCTACGAGCACAGAATTGCAGACAGAACATTTGAATGTAGGCGACTGCGAAAGTGACGGCACCCAATATGGCCATTCTTTGGATGATTATTACAAAGCCACTGGCAGTTTGAGAAGCGAAAGCATCAAATAGATCGGAAAAGAACATGAAGGTTATAGGAATGGAGACGCCAATCATGGCGCTGGTGATTAAACCAATTATGAACATCCCGATCTCTAGAGGCGAGGCGTATCTGAGTAGCTGGTAGTACCGGACAGGAATAGCCACTTCATCCCTAGGTAAAAAAGTAAATAAATAGGGCAATTTACCCTTGGGACTCGCCATCTGTGTTGTCAAAAGGCAAACCCTCAACCATTGTAAAACGCCCCGCAAAAACGTATTATTGTAAGTATTACCAATATGTATAAAACTGGTTTGTTTAAACACACGTGCCCAATTTTAAAAGTGAATAAAATGTCATTTGTAATAAGAAGATCATATGGCTGAGTTCCCAGAATAGAATGTTGATAGGCAAGCCAATAAATGTGTTAGCATTGAGATGGACAACACAAATTATTGACATTTTATGAGTAATACAAAGAATATTTCTAATCGCCAATCCAACTAATTTCTTGGGTTTTATCGTATACAGAAGTTATTTATTTACTACTTAAAGTCATGGGACTTTGCTGAAGATGGCAAGTGCCATACTGACAGGGAGAAACTCATTGTCGTCGTACGGAAGGGAGAGGATAGCTACTTGCATATTCCTGAGGCTATGTCTATCATCGAAGGTTCAAACGCAGTCTTAAGTGTAAGTGTCACTTGATGAAGAGCTAAATAAACAAACAACTGGTTACATTGCCCCTTCCCACCTTGAGCGTCGTCCATGGCCCTCCCTTTTGTTAAAACTCTCGTCAGTCATCACAACGCAATCTATGCTGCAATCTTTATGATATGCTACTGTGGCTCGGAGGACATGACGCCCAATAAAAGTGCAACATCGAGGTTTAAGTGCTTGCGGAATCGAGTCTAAGCATCAAAACAGTAATCAAAGCATTTTAGCTAAGTGTTAAATTAAGAAAAATATTAGCTTTGCAAACAAATGCGCTGATCTTAATCACTACAAGAATGTTCATTTTAACTTAAAATTAAGCGACGTTATGTTTACGCATAGCACCTTGAGTCTTTCTTGAAGTTGATGACCACGCCACTGAGTGGACAACCTTGAGTACAAAACTTTTGTAGCGTCCCGAGATTCACTGAAGACGAAAGAAGACACAATACTCGGGCAGAATATACATTCAGCGCAGAGAAGGTGTCTGGGCTATTGGCATGGCCCAGAAGACTAGCCCACCCAGCGAGGTACAAGGGGGCTAATTCAAAGTACAAAAGTGGCCCCTCACCAATACCGAGGGATAAACTACTATCGTACCACACTTTAGTGTGGGTTTCTTCTATGCCATCCATCGAACAGGCACGTCCCGACTTCAGTACTTTGATGGAAGTCGAACACAATTCCGGCTACTTAAAACGCAAACATGGCAGACCAATGATTTACTCCTTTAAAGTTGAACGCACGCATCAACAAGTTTTCAGTCAATTTAAGGCATGTTTTTCTTTTATAATTAACTTGACGACGTACCAAACACGCCACATCACCATGACAACGTTGTGTATGGTCACTCTCTATCAAAGTGGAGTTCATTATTCAAAGATTAAAGAACCTTATATCATAAAGAGATAGGTAAGCAGTACCTGTCTGCAATGCGTGGGACGCTTGATCTGGACACTCACCACGAATTTGAGCAAGTTTGAGCAATGGCCTTATTAATGTTTTTGCAGCAATTTAGCATATATTTAAAAAAGGATATACTTAACAGTACCTATCCATTGGTATCTAAGGCCTGTGCTTTTGCAATGACTGCGTAATTGGAGTGCCACGTTGGTATGATTCACTATAATTTTAGTGAAGCTGCCAAGAGATGCGGCTTAATCAGAAGTGTCAACAAAATCGCAAACATCTTACCCCATAAACGGTATAGATATCATAATGATACGAAACCTTGGAATATTTTATGAGTATGGAAGAAGCACATTTGTAGTTTCCTTGTGCTTCAGTGCAAATTGTTAACAAATTTTGAAAGAATTTGTACAGTTTAACAAAGTAAATGCCAAAATTTTCATCAGATGCCAGTAATTAACCTAATTTATCTGAGCTTATTACGCTTATCTAGGTGTAGTAGAAGAGATGTGTGAAAATAGGTAAAGTTGTCTGCTTTTCTGGTGGATTTGCTCCATTAAGGCGACTCCTTAGAAATTTTACTTGATCTAAGCTGTAAGTTTATCTTAGGTCAAATTAGTCTTCTACAATTAAAAAAGCCGCAGTTAAAGTATGGCACCATTAGCCAAACCGTCATCAACTATGGACATCTGGCCTGGGTGCTCATTCCGCGGGAACATGCAATATTTGGTGCTAGAGGATCACTTAGGTTTGTATCAAATGCACGCTAAGTCCGGATTCGCCTTCACTATTTTATTAGTACAGCTGTTCTGCTGGATATGCTTTAAGCAGATAGCCGTTTACCCTTGTTCATACTGTGAAGTGCCCAGCTGCGAGCAGGATCACTCCACTACCAGCATCTCCACTCATCCGACAGCGTCTCCCTCTCCTACTTTCACGCACTTGTTCGCTCGTCGCGCTTCTCTACTTTTTAACGCACGTAGGTTGCAAGTGATTTGTGTGTAGGGGGCACTGCGTGATGAGTAAACAGTTGGGTCTATTCTACATCACCCTCTTTCTCCTGTTCGGGTTGAGTGGTCTTTTCCTTGCTTTTGACGCA